AAAAAAAAAAAAAAAAAGAGATCACCAGGGAAAAAAACGTCTCCAAAGCTAACAATAATACCTGACATTTTTTGAAAACTTAACCGAGTGTCAGGAACTCTGCTAATATTTGTATATGAATGGTTTCATTTATTCAAAAGCATTCTACGGGGTTATTACTATCATCCCCATTTTAAAGGTGGTGAAATAGGTATGGGGAAATTAAGGAACTTGCCTAGAATTGCTGCAGACGTGCAAGCAGAAACTGAAGAACTGATTATCCAGATGTGTTAAGAGTTTTATGTATTGTGTTGAAGATCAAGTCCTAAAGTTTGGTACCAGTTTATTTTTTTTTAATTTTTTTTATTAAATCATAGCTGTGTACATTAATGCAGTCATGGGGTACAGTGTGCTGGTTTAATATACAATTTGAAATATTTTCACCAAACTGGTTAACAGCCTTCATGGCATTTTCTTAGTTGTTGTGTTAAGACATTTATATTCTACATTTAGAAAGATTCACATGTACCCTTGTAAGATGGACCATAGGTGTGGTCCCATCAATCACCCTCCCTCCACCCATCCTCCCTTGGTACCAGTTTTTTTAAGTTTACTTTTGTTTTCATGTTTACTTTTAAAAATATAAGAGACCCTTAAGTTTCTTAGGACAACTTAATGAATATTATGTCAACAACATAAAATATTAGGTAAGCAATAGTGTAGGTGGTGGATATGGCAAAAAAAAAAATAAAGACAGTTTGCAAATGACTGAAGTTGGGGGCACACTAATATAGAATTTATTTCTGATTCTGAAATCCTGTTAATTGACACCCCAGAGCTTTCTAAAATTAATTTTGATAAATGAAGTTTACAGTATTTGGCATAGGGATATTTTAAGAGCTAGGATCTCACCTATTACCCAGGCTATCACAGCTTACTCTAGCTTACACTCCTAAGAGTGATTCTTACAGGTATCCCAGCTCTAGCATTTCAAATCCATTATGTAGAGATGAGAAAATTTATCCATATTGGGTTGTGAGGGCACACATTTTATGAAAGCCTGGTCCAAGACTAGAACCTAGTTTCCAATCCAGAATTTTCTCCCTCAAATACTCAAAGTCAAGGGTGACTTTGGGATAAAAACTTTTTATCCAATGTGTTTGGTTTTTTCTTTGGCCAAATTTGGGGAAATGCATGCTTTCCATATCTATTTGACACTGAAAAGCAAGAAAATATTAAAACTTTATCCTACTCTAATACTTTACATTTTAGTTTCTTATAATCTGGAGAAATGGACAACTCAGGTTTGTAAGAATTCAAAGGCTATAACTGGAAACATGCAAAGTAAGCCAGGGATGTTATCTAAAGACTATTTTTTATTCAACATACCTTAATCCTGTATAATTGAACCTTATGTGATACAAGTTTAGCTCCTCAAACTTTTTTTTTTTTTTTTTTTTTGCAGTTTTTGGCTGTGGCTGGGTTTGAACCCGCCACCTCCAGCATATGGGGCCAGCGCCCTACTCCTTTGAGCCACAGGCGCTGCCCTAGCTCCCCAAACTTTAAGTTAAAAACCTTAAAGCCCTAAAAGACCGTTTTTAAATAGTGAAGCATGTTGTTTCTTTTCCATTTTTCAAATTCATGTCTGTCATTCTTTAGTTAGGACTTTCACATTTGCCTGAGCACTATATTTGTGTGGTAGTACAAACTAGTAGAAAGTTTGGAAGGCCTGTCCAAAAACCTTGAGGAAGACCTGAAGAATGGTCATTCTTGGTAAACAAGTCCCATTTTTGCAAATTGGAACATCAGAGCTGAGAGCTAAGTAAATTGAAATGTTTCAGAGCAATAGAACTTACATTAAAGTAGGGTAAGGGTGCATTTCTAATGGCCAAAATAGGAGGGGCACCTGGAAGCTTAAAAAAGAGCTCAGATTCTGGCAACATGCAGAAAACGGAAACTGGACCCACACCTGTCACCATTAACTAAGATAGATTCTCACTGGATTAAAGACTTAAATTTAAGACATGAAACTATAAAAACATTAGAAGAAAGTATAGGGAAAACTTGAAGAAATAGGTCTGGGCGAAAATTTTATGAGGAGGACCCCCCCGGGCAATTGAAGCAACATCAAAAATATACTACTGGGACCTCCTCAAATTAAAAAGCTTCTGCATAGCCAAGAACATAATAACAAAAGTAAGTAGACAACCCTCAGAATGGGAAAAGATATTTGCTGGTTATGCTTCCAACAAATGTCTTATAACCAGAATCCACAGAGAACTCAAGCGTAGTAGCAAGAAGAGAACAAGTGATCCCATCACAGGGTGGGCAAGAGACTTAAAGAGAAACTTCTCTGAAGAAGACAGACTCATGGCCAACATACATATGAAAAAATGCTCACCATCCTTAATCATCAGAGAAATGCAAATCAAAACTACTCTGAGATATCATCTAACGCCAGTTAGATTAGCCCATATCACAAAATCCCAAAATCACAGATGCTGGTGGGGTTGTGGAGAAAAGGGAACACTACTACACTGCTGGTGGGAATGCAAACTAATACGTCCCTTTTGGAAAACCATATGGAGAACACTCAGAGATCTAAATATAGATCTACCATTTGATCCTGTAATTCCGCTGTTAGGTATATACTGAGAAGACCATAAATCACGCTATAATACAGATATCTGTACCAGAATGTTCACTGCAGCCCAATTCACAATCGATAGGTCATGGAAGAAGCCCAAGTGCCCATCGACCCATGAATGGATCAATAAATTGTGGTATATGTACACCATGGAATACTATACAGCCACAAAGAAAGATGGAGACCTTGCCTCCTTCATGTTTACATGGATGGAGCTGGAAAATGTCCTCCTTAGCAAAGTATCTCAAGAATGGAAGAAAAAGTATCCAATGTACTCAACACTATTATGAAACTAATTGTTAACTATCTTAGGAAAGCTACAATCCGAATGGAACCCTAGACTATGGGGAAAGGGGAGGGGGAGAGGAGGGGGGAGGATGGGTGAAGAGAATGATATTGTGGGGATCACGCCTATAATTTATCCTATTAGGGTACATGTGAATTTGTCTAAAGGTTGAATATAAATGTCTTAATACAACAATTATGAGGAAGACATGATGGTTATGTTAGCCAATTGGATGAGAGTTTTCCAAACTGCATATGGAAGCAACACACTGTATCCTATGATAGAATTAATGTACACAATTATGATCTAATAAAAAATAAATTTAAAAAAAGAGCTCAGATTCTGATTTGATTAGGAATATAAATTTATGACCCTGTACATACTAAAGTGGAGAAATATAGTGATGTGCCTACACTTCGTTGAGCGGGCACTAACAAAACAGAACGCTTTATGAAATTAAAGCAGTGACCTAGAGAGGCAGCCATGGAGGAAAACCACTCCATAGTCATTGTGCAGCCATGTTAAGATAGAGCTAGGCTTCTGAGAGGCAGTCTGGGGACTTCACTATATAGGCAAAAACATCAGCACAGGCATAGGCACATATGGTTGGTAGCTCCTGTGGCAGCCTGCTCTTCCTTGGAAACTGTCCTATTTCCTGAGATCTAATTACAATAGGAAAACACTCCCTTCCCCAGTTCTTAGTCCCAACCATTCTACATTGACCTTGGCATTTTACCACCTCTCCTTTCCAGTTGTTTCTACTATACTTTTATGTGCTACTCATAACTAAAGAATGTGGATGTTTGAAATTCATATAGCAGACAGACAAGCCTTGCTTAATGATTTAAATAAACCAAACTGTAAACTAGTGTGATTTGACAGGTAATAAGAAAGCCCTGCCCTCCCCCAACACACACACACACACACACACACACACACACGGGAGAATGTGCCTATACGGGATTTCAAATGCATGCACATACACATGTACTTGCTACTAGCAGCTTCTTGTGTTGCTTGCAATTTAATCACCATAGATACAGATTCTTTTAGGTTAATCAAACTTCTCATCTTAAATGCAAATATAAATAAGACTAGTAAACAGGCTCCAGGCACTTTTTTCATGAACAACATGGTAGAACAGAGCTTTTCAGTGTGCTACAGGTATGATGAGATACTGATGGCGGGAAATTTCTTATAATAATAAAACAGTTTAACTGTTTTTAATAATCATGAAAAAATTGACAGCAGTTAAAATTAAATGTGAATGCTGCTTATGTATGAGGTAGTATGACTTCCTCGGTAAACATGTTGAATTCGGAAATTACTCCAGCAGGTGAGAGTTTATACCTTCAGTTTACCACAAGAGGGCCCCTTGTCATGGTTATGCCACATAGCACTGCCTTAGATGGGCCATAATGGCATTTTCATTTTTTAATGTGTGCCCGGACATAAAAAGATAATCACAAATCACGAAGATAACATATTTATGTAGTAAGGCCTACTGTCACCTATATCCTAAGAGCAGACATGTTTTTAAATACAAAAGAAATAGGAAAAAAATCTCAGAATAAAAAACTCCTTAAAATCGAGTACATTTAACCTTAGGAAAAACACACTAGATTCCCCTTATTTCTTTCATTTGCCAAGGACCCATGGACTTTATCAAAAGCCATAACTGGGTTGAGAAACACCGGAAAGAGCTTATTTAATAAAGGCAATTGGAGATTAATGTTGATCTAAAAGAGTGGGGGAGGGCCTATGTTATGTCTGTAGAACTTACATATTACTTTCTAAATTTCAACTTGTGAGATCGAGTTATCAAAATTGTTTACATTTCTTAAACATCAACTGAGAAGCAGAAGGCATGGGGCACAGAGGGTTTGGAGTTTGGTTTTAGACGAACAACAAAAATATAAGTTAAGTGCTAAGCTAGGTGCAAAAGATCCATGAGGGAATGACACTGTTTCTGTACTTGGAGCTCAGAGGAAAAATAAACGTCCAGTAGAATAAGCTGAGATTAGTGAGATAAGTGCTGTGCTAGATGTACAGACAGTATTTAGATACAGCACAGAGAAATTGGTGGTGTCGTTATTAACCAGGGCTGGAGGGAAGCTCTTGCCATTTTTCTGAAGCATGGAGAGATCTTAAAGTGAGGGACCTCTGAAGAGGACTCAAGTTTCCCAGAGGTCACTTACCTTTCTTTGCCTCTAAAAGCCCTTCTAGATAGTTGAGAGCCTTAATGTAAAGAGTATTTCCAAACTTGGATCCCAAAATAACTATCAGCCCTTTCTGAATTTTAGTTCTGCTTCAGGAATATTCTTCCTTCCCTTCTCATCACTGAAATTTTTCAGTGGACCTTTACCGTTTAAAACTGAGTTATACAAGGAATTTCAGTTGATTTGATGCAGACTTATTTACAAACTTTCCATTTTATATAATGGAAGCCTTGGGCCAGAGCATCCCTGCAAATGGAGGCTAATTTACAACTTAATAAATTAAAAGGAAGTGCTTAGGCCCCGCTACCTTGACAATGGAGAGGCCCAGGGAGGCTAAAAAACACTGCAGTAAAGGCAAAGTCTTCTCTGGATCACTGGTTTCAGCTGTGAAATGTGGCCTCAGATATTATCTGTTAGCATAGGCTTTTTATTACAATTTTCCACAGTTCATGCTTTAGCCTTACTTGGAAGCACACCTGTGATCTGCTTTTAAAAATAAGGTCAATCTAAAGATTCAATAAAAAGATAGTAGTCATTTGTAATAGGAAACACTGCATAGAAAAATACATTTTTATTCATTTGGTACATTAGTGACTTCACAAAGATTTATAACTGTTTAGCACTTAAACTGCCTCAATTTTAGAAAAACAATTTTTCTAATTTCAAAATAACGGCATGGTTTTGCATGCTAGGAAACGAGCTTTGTTCTTAAGGAAATTTCACAATATGCTCTCATTAGGAAAGCGTGCTGCTTTGAAAATAAAGCCATCCACAAAGTTGTTTTCCTTCATGTGATGTTTTAATAACTAGTAATAATTTGTAAAATATACAGACAATTATTGATAATTGCTAAGGAACTGTGCTCTGCAAGTCCTAAGCCTGTAGCCTCGCAAAGCATATAACAGGTGTTCCCACTCCCTGTGTCCTTTGTATACACATTCATTCTGTATTCAAATCACAGAAGCAGGAGTCAGGATAGGATCTGTTACCTCACTGCTAATTTCCCTAGCAAATAAACCAGCAGCTGCTGATCCACGTACTAAGTTACCACAGAGAACAGGGCACTGTATGCATGGGACAGGATGCTTTCATGGAGCCCTTCAGCGGCACAGCTGGGGTCTTTAAGTGCAAAATATACCTCCTTCTCTTAGGTAAGGCCTTTCTTGAATTGTGTTTCAGCTGTTGTTTGGGGGTTGTTTGGGGGTTTTTTTTCTTTTTTTTTTTTTGTAGGCATAAGGTAAATATTCGCTTTAGGCTATAGATTCACTCAGATAATTGAAGAGCAGGTCAAAACCTTTTAACAATAACACACAGTTCCAGCAAAGAAGCAGGAACATTTAGGAGAAATGAGGCTCAATAAATAGATTGTTATTGTTTCCTTAGAACAACAATTATTCTCAATAGCACTCATTAAGAAAGTTAAGACAGTCTAAAAATCTAATGAATTTCTCCCTTTTAGAATTTGCATATAGGTTCAATAGTCTTTAATGCATTTATTTTGGCAAGTATCCTAATAGGCCCTGAAATTGTGACCACTTAGAATGAAAACTCAAAACCATTTATGAAAATGGGGTTTTTTTAATTAAAGATATTACTACAAACTATTGACTCTGCTTCATTTTAAATTATCTACTTCATCTTATGAAATAAGGAAAAAAGTGAGATTCCAAGCTGACAAAACAAAACTTTGTACACAAAAGGATGATATGTTAAAAAAAAAAAAGATTATTTCTTCAAAATGCTTTTCTTTTTGCTCAGTGGCTAAGTACTGTACCACTTTTTTATCTGTAGCTTCCTATTTTTTCCTCATTCTCCCCTTCATCGTTAGAGTTTCAAGGTGTTTGCCTGCCGCGCTCCCGCTGTTTTATCTGTTGACGTTATTTTCATCCCATGTTTTCTTTTCCATTCTTCCTCTGTATCGATTTTAAGAGTCAGATTAGTTTCTTGTTTTATTTATATTCAGCACATAGAAATACAAAAAAAGGCAATATTCCTTCAATTTTAAAAACAACTTATCTATGTAAGCAATTTGTTTTAGATGTCTTCAGTTATTTAGAGCCTTATTTTAACTTGCTTATTTTGTGACAGTTTTCATTGTAAATGTGATTGTTTTTCAATTTAAACCTACTGTGGTGTATATCCCATATATTTGAAAGGTAAACTTTATAAATTTTTGTAATGTCTTCAAGTTTCCAGTAGTTATAATTCTCCTAATTATTAAAGTGTTTATGTTACCAAATTCAACCCCCACCCAAAAAAAATAGATTTTCATAGAAAACTTTCTAAAAATTAAATAGTGTAACTGTCTCTTTATCTTGGTTCATTTTTTTCAGTTTTGAAAGTATCCTGTGTCAGTGTCCCCCTTGTTTTTAATTTTAACGCTATAGGACTGTTGTCATTTCACAAGTGATTTTTTTATAATTGGCTTTAGGAAATTAGAGAAAAATTCAGTTGAGGAATTCAACTAAAATGAAGTTAAAGTGTGCTTTAGAGAAATTGCGTGTTTAAAAATAATTAAAGCAGTTTATTATACCTTAAGATTTTCTTTCTGAAGCAGATTTACTTTTCCCCATCGGTAGTGTGTCATAAAGACCACAGGTCTTTATGTGAAAATTTTTTTGATTTTAGAAATATTGAATTTTTGTTTAAAAAATAAGAGTTTGAAGCCTAAAAATGTACCATTTGTACAGTCTATTCAAAATCCAACTTCCAAATCTCTGTTTTCTCTAAAGATATAAGAATTTGTTTTCAGTCAACAATAGTTGTGTTATGCTTGCTAATACTGGTCGTGATCATGGGGGAGTAAAGGCCGACTATTCTGAGCTAAGGTAGAGGTCACTTTGTGAAGTCTGATGTTTATATGCAATACAGGGAAACTGGTCTAGGGAGTCCTTTGTTGCTGGAATAGAAATAAATTTTGCAGTAGGACTTGAAGTGTTTCTTACCACTGGATGCTTCTTTATAATGCTATGTTACACAGTGTAAGAGGGTCAGTAAAGTAAGATTATCACTGTAATTTTATGTGTCAGATTATGAATGATATTATCAGTGTCCCTTCAGATTGCTGCGATGCTTTACATGCAAAAAGTCTAAGAGTTTCCCTTTTTATCCTCAGGAAAATTAGTGAAGCTACTAATATAAAACTGAATTTTCATTTAAGTCCAAATATTTAAAATATCAAAAGAAAATTAAAAATTTTTTTTGAGACAGAGTCTCACTTTGTAGCCTAGGCTAGAGTGCCATGACATGGACCTAGTTCACAGTAACCTCAAACTCCTGGACTCAAAAGATCCTCTTGCCTCAGCCTCCTGTGTAGCTGGGGACTAGAGGTGCCCACCACAATGCCTGGCTAGTTTTTCTACTTTTAGAAGTGACAAGGGACTCTTGCTCAGGGTAGTCGCGAACTCCTGAGCTCAAGTAGTGCACCCACCTTAGCCTCCCAGAGCACTGGAGTTATAGCCATGAGCTTACTTGTTCTTATAGAGGATGACTTTCTAAAATCAATAGTTTTAGTCCTTTAGATTTTCTCAAATAACTAGAAAAGAACACTTGAAATTTTCTCAAAATGAAGCTAATTTTTCTAAAATTACTAAACGTGTTTGACAGCATGGATTCATCCAATGTGTAATGGGAAACACAATGGCAAGAGAGTACGTTTTTTTGAAATGGAGAAGCAGCATTCAGTTATCTGTTTATTCCCCAAATTTCACTACTAGTAAAGATTGCTTGATATCAGTAGGTTTGTTTCTTTCCTCCAAAATTAAAAGATTTGAGGTGTTTGAGATGAGATACTGTATACAAAAAATTTCATTCCTTCCTGACATTCTTATAATGTGCTGCCAATACTTTATCTGATAAAAATGGTGCAGGCAATCTTGAAACAAACAGCTATTGTAACAGCTGTGCTGTCTCTGTTAAACACAAATTTGAAAAGGCACACGTATTTGAAAAATAATTGTTTTCATTTGTTATGAAGGCATTGAATATATTCAGAGATATTGACAGTAATATATTATTTAAAGTATTATGAAATGATGCAGTTTCTAAAATGGCCCAAAAAACTAGTTTCCCCTTAACCAATTATCATAAAGATTATATAACATGTTATTTTCTACTGAAGCAGTTTCATTTTTCTCTAGGCTGCAATATTTGTATTGTTTTTAATATTTTATTAAATGAAGCTCTCTTCCTCTAACTTTAGTCATGGACTCTCTACCCAGTCTTTTCATACTTATGATTCAACCTCTGAATCAAGATTTAAAAGTCGGCAACATTTCCATTTTAGTGATACTCTCACTTCATTGTGATAAGGTGCCTCCCAATAATTTCCAGAATATTAAATAAATCTCAGCCTTTTCAACTACAAAAAAAGTAAATGAAAACGGTTTGTTCCCTTTACAAAACAACAAAGCAAACAAGGACTTTTGCAATGACTTTCCCAAATGACAGGAACAGATTGGCCAGAATTGATTGCATTCAGGCCATCTCAGCCTAGTGGTGGTTTCTAGGTTGAGCTGTGAAATGTCTTAAATGGACCAATAATTCAATGACAAAACTGCTCCCGCCAGAGGCACCTTCTTCATTTGATGTTAGCAGTCATGCAGTCTTTCCCAGGGCATTCCCAGGGCAATGATGTGGACTCCGCCATTCCCCTTGATTCTTGGGGAATTGCCACTTTGCTAAAAGATGTGCAGGGATTAACAACTTAATAAGTAGACCAAAAACTGACACTCAATACTTCGAATTTGGGGGGCCTCTCTCAGTTTGAGTCCTCTCAAAATTCTCTAGGCCCTTCTAATGTAGGTTGCTGCTACCCTGGGAAAAAGCACCTTAGGATGTCAAGAACATAAAACTTCATCAAGGAAGGCCTTCGACCTCATCTAGTATTATTCCCTTTTCACACATGAGAAAACTGAAGCAGAGAATTAAAGACTTCTCTAGGATTACATAGATGAGCACTTAGTATTTCATCTCAAGTTCATGTTCTTTATCAAGATCTCACATTTCAGTGGATTTTTTACTTTATCAAAGTATTGAGTATAGTAATCTGCGAGTTTAGCAAATGCCTTCCTGAAAATCCTTATTTCAGGGAAATTTCCTCTGTAAGAGATAAACTTAAAACTAATTGATGGACATGGGACAAGGGAGTCCAAGATAAGGAGTGGACCATGAAACCCTCATAAATATTTTTAAATTCAAGTGAAAAAAAAAAAAGATTGATACAATAAAGTGAAAGCTACATTTTAAATACCTTAAGTTAGTAATAACAGGTGCTGAAAGCCAGTTTTTATTTATTACTTACCAGGAACTTGTAAGGAGCTTTCTAGCCCCAATTTCAATGAAAGGCATGTAAGTGCATTTTGTTTGAGGCAGAAAACACAGGCACTAAGAGGAATCTTTTCCTGTGCAGATCCCCCATTCAAAGGCCTAGTGTCTTTCTACATTTATGACTTTTAAGAGCTTCACCCTCTATCAGCCCCTGCTTCACCTATAGTAGACATGACTAGTTTTAAGACACAGATTTACTCTTAGTTTGTTTTCTTTTTTTATAGACAGGGTCTCACTCTGTCACCCAGGCTGGAGTGCAGTGGTTCAATCATTGCAGCTTCAAACTCTTGAGCTCAATCAATTCTCCTGCCTCAGCCTCCCAAAGTGCTGGGATTACAGGTGTGAGCCACTGTGCCAGGTCTCCCACAGGATCTTTTACTAGCCCCCCAGTCTCTTTGCACATTCATCTCTTGCCTGCTTTATCACAGGCCCTATTCTCATCTATCCTCATGGCAGCTCGAGTGAGTCCAATAAGACATAAGAAAGGTCATATCTCTTCTCTGCTGATGAAACTCTAGTTGCATCCACATCATAGAGAGATCTGAAGGTCCTGTCCACTCTGTCGCTGACCTCATAATCTACCATGCTCCCTCCCCTCTCCTCTGCTCCATTCATGCCTTTCTCTTCGTCAAGGAAGGCCTTGACTTGAGGTGTGTTCCTCAAACACACCAACCAGATACCTGGTCTGCAAGGACGGACTGAACATGACTTATGATGGTTTAACTCCACGCTCCTAGGACATTTGCATTTGAGAAGGTTTTGACTAAGGGAACACCTTCCAAAAATGGAATATTAAGTCATTGCAGAAGACTTCAGGGGAAATTCTTGAGAGGAAGTAATCCCTGAGTTATATAAACTATATAAATATAGTTTGATTAGGATATGATATGACACAGACATTCATAAAGTCATAATTTAAAGTCTTTTTAAGGGTTACTTTGGACTTTAGAACTAATAATCTTTCCGAGTTCTCCTTTTCTCATTATTCTTTAACAGTCATAAGTAAATAACTTCTGCTTTTCCTTTTCATCTTGCCTTTAGACAGATCATGCAATCAGCAGTCTTTGGGTGGAGTTTTTAAATGTAGAAGGTTTCAGAGACAAATATTTACCTCTATCTGCAACCGGCACTAGAATGGTCAGTACCTAGAAGCAGCTCTTCTTTGGAAAGGATTATCACCTGATCAAGTTCTTTCTGCAGTTTCCACTTTAAACTTGAAATGTGGCTCGCGGTCTTCACAGCCTTCCTTTCCTTTGCAGCAGGTGCTTGTTCAGGACTGAAGGTGACGGTGTCCTCACACATTGTCCACGGCATCAGGGGTCAGGCCCTCTACCTCCCTGTGCACTATGGCTTCCACACTCAGGCATCAGACATCCAGATCATATGGCTGTTTGAGAGGCTCCACACAATGCCCAAATACTTGCTGGGCTCTGTGAATAAGTCTGTGGTTCCCGACTTGGAGTACCAACACAAGTTCAGCATGATGCCACCCAACGCATCTCTGCTCATCAACCCACTGCAGTTTACAGATGAAGGCAATTACATCGTGAAGGTCAACATTCAGGGAAATGGAACACTCTCCGCTAAACAGAAGATAGAAGTCACTGTTGACGGTGAGTCCACTGTGTGTACATGGGCAGCCGGCTAGGATGGTGGTTAGCAAAGGCTCAGGAAACTGAACAGCCTGGGTTTTAGGCCCTGGCTCTGCAACTCTGGGCAAATGAATTAATCCTTAAAGCCTCACTATCTCATGGCACTAAGGACATTAGCTACTTCATGAGGCTTTCTGAAGTTTACATATGACATGCATGTAAAGGTATGCCAAGGGCCCAGCAAAAGGCAGTCAAACAATAATGTAACTTGTTATCCATTTTCCTGGGAACTATCCAATATAAAGTTGCTAATAGCATGAGATGGAGAAAATCTTATTTTTTCAGCGGTAAAATATACCCCGGGAGAGCCCTATTTTTGTCCCATGGATATTTTTGGTGTGGCACACTGGGGGAGGATGTGACTTGCTCAAGGACAATAGAAATACCTGGAAATGTCTTCTGAGGGGCTGAGGAGAGTGGGCCCAGCTAACTTCCAGACACTTGTTTTCTCACTGAGGTATGTCAGTGACATACCTTAAATATACAATGTCCAAAGCCCAGCTTCTCATTTTTCTCTCTAGACCTGTTTCTCTGACAGTGTTCCCCCATTTCAGTATACACAGAAACCATTCTGCCAACTGCCAGGCCCCAAACCTTGCATCATCATTGACCTTTCTTTTTCTCGCATCCCACATCCGGTCAAGAAAACCCTGTCAGCTTCACCTTCAAAATACAGCTTGCCCCAAAGGTCACCCCTAAAGCCACCATACATAGGGAAAATGGAGAATAGTAGCTAAATTTACCTTTGTTTACAAATATTCATTACAAAATTTTATAAAATATTTACAAAATACTCTGTTGGCCACTTCTTTGTAAAATTTGACAATGAATATTTTGTAAATAAAGAGACATTTAGCTACAGTTTTTTGTTTTCCTTAAATATAGCAACTTTAGGGACAACCTTTGGGACATCCTGTATAGACAAAGTGCAACCACTTCTCACCGCCTCCACTGTTGTCCAACCATCAGCTGTGTGCTGGAATATCCTGACCTGTCCCCTGGTCTCCCTGTACCTGTTCCTACCTCCTGCAACTTAAAATGCTCCTATAGCTTCTATCTCATCCATAGAAAAGTCAAAGTACTAGCAATGGACTGCAGGGCCCCACGTACCCAGCCCCTGCCTGGCCCCATTTCCTACCTGCATCCTCCTCACTCCCTCCATTCTGGCCAGGATGGTCTCCTTACTCATCCTAGAACAGACCAAACACACTCACACCTCAGGGCCTTTGTACTTGCTGTTGGCTCTATCTAGATGGCTTTTCTCCTAGATACCAGCAAGGTCCCCTCCCTTGTTTCCTTTAAGTCTCAGCCCAAATGTACTTAATAGTGAGGCCTCTCCTGACCCCTATATAAAGTATAACCTCACTCCCCCAAGCACACACACAGTCACTCTGCACTCCACTTCTGCTTTTCCTTTTTTCATAGCACTTACTAGCACCTGGACATACTATATATTTTTATTTGTTTATCGTGTCTCTTCCTAACTAGAATATGAGGTCCATGAGGACAAGACTTTGTATTGTTGGCTGCTCTGTCCTCAGGGCCTTTCCTGACCACTATCTGGGAGTAAATAAGTGCCCACAGAGGAGATGGAGGCGGCTTCAGGGGAGCATGGACACAGGAGGTGGAAGCAGATGCCTGCAGAGCAACTTTGGGGAAAGGAAAGAGATCACTAAAGGGCACCCTCATGTGTGGTATCCTGTCTCCCCCAAAACCTTCAGTAGAACATCCTCACTTGTTAATCAGCAGTAACGTTGGAACTATTTGGGGAAATGCAACCAAAATTCAGTGAAGCCTAAATTTTAGGGCCTGAGCCAATATCCTTCTTGGAAAGGAAACTCCCACACCTAGTTTACATTGTTTTAGGCAAATGAAAAATCACAATACCAATGACTCTTCTAATGATTGGTTCTCCTCATGCAAGATCATTGACATGTTACCTGTTTGTCCCATTCCACACGTACTTCCACACATAAGATGCATTTGAAATGTAAGCTTTTTATGCATGATAAATGCATACAATTCATTTTTCTTTTTCAATCATAACATGAACATAAACCTTTTTCAAATCCTTTGTTCTTGCCAGGGAAGATGAAGGATTAAATTAAATGGATAAGCCAGTGGATTACCCCCACCTGGAGAAGTGCTACAAGTTTCAGCATTACTCAGCTGCCTGCAAGTTGCCCTTCAACTTCCTTCCAACTGCCCTTCTTTATCCCCCATTTGCTTTGATCTTCTCTGGGCTGTTTCTGAGCTAATGCACATTTTCCAGTGTAGGAAAATGTGAGCATGAGTCGACAAATTTATCTAAGGAAGATGGGTCAACCCTAATTAAAAGCTTGATAGAAAATTAAGGCCTAAACATCAGAGGCAATCATCTATCACTTGTATATCATCCCACTCTCTGTCCAGTAATCATACATAGAACATCATTAAATTCATCTCACAGCAAAATGCAGGAGAGAATACTACTGTCAGATTTAAGGCTCTCTTCGTTTGCCACTGACTGCTATGTAACCTGTGCAAGTCAAGAATCTCTAAGATTAATGAAAACTGCTAAAAATGCTTCTGGATGCTTATTTAATCCCCATCCTTGTCTATCAACTTTACAGTTAAAATTCAGAGAGGAACTATTTATTCATTCTTAGAAACATATTAATTTGACAGACTTTATCCAGTGCCAGGCCATGAAGTAAGACGATTTTCCTATTACTTGACTTTCCAACAAGTAATTGAAAGACAAATTGAATTTGTCTCTGTTTTTGTCTAATTTGATATAATCCCAAAATACGTTTAATCCTATTTGCGGATGGACTTGGATTGAAACATAGACTTTGCTCTGTTAAAGTGACTAACACAAATGCAAAGTCATTAAAGCATGTCATTAATTTGATTACATACATAAAAACAAAGAAAGCTATACGTTAGCGATTTTCTAACATTTTCCCTCAACTTCCCAAAAGTATACTGTATATGAACAGCAATATATTTTGCAGATGGTAGCCAGAAATTTGGGTGCACCACATCCACCCCATCTGGCTGCTCCTGGGACATTGGGACAAGGCAAGAGAGGGTAATAACCGTATAAATTTTGCCTGGTTTACCTTTACAGTATGGGGAAAGTGCAGCCAGCAGAAAATAAGGAAGCTGGTATTCGCAAATACTGTGTTATCTATAATGTAAAGGGTTTCATTAAACAATCCTTGAAGAGTAAGTTCTAGAATTTGGTGATATTTTGGATTTTCCACAACTTTTTATTCTCTTCTTTATTGCTCAAGCTGTCAACATTTATGGAGTAAAGCTCTAGAATTGTTTCCCCAGGAGTTACTATTTGAAAGCCCTCATAGAGTTTTGTTGCAGTTCAGTGAGTAAAAAGAATCATTCCTATCTCTCTTATATTGCAGATCCTGTCAGAAAGCCAGTGGTGCAGATTCATCCTTCCTCGGGGGCTGTAGAATATGTGGGGAATATGACCCTGACATGCCAGGTGGAAGGGGGCACTCGGCTAATTTACCAGTGGCTAAAAAACGGCAGGCCTGTCCACACCAGCTCCACCTACTCCTTTTCTCCCCAGAACAACAGCCTTCATATTGCTCCAGTGACCAAGGAAGACATTGGGAATTACAGTTGTCTGGTGAAGAACCCTGTCAGTGAGATGGAAAGTGACATCATTACGCCCATCATATATTGTAAGTTTTTTTTTCCAAGAAATATTCATGAGGTGCCTTTTTGTTTGCTTTTCTGAGAAGTTTTTATGGGGTAGTCACAGAGAATATAAGCACCAGATGTCATTTGGATTTTACCATTATTATAGTCTAGGACTAATTCTAATCACACCTGTCTCATCATGAAATATATCTACTGACACTATTTCTTGTAGATCAAATTGAGATACTGGCCAGGGACCATTCACTTTGCGTTTTGTGATTCAGTCCATCATGTGACCCCATTTCCAACGGAACGGAGAAATCTTAATTTCAGGAACCCAGAACCATGCAGAGAATGCAAAGAGAAAACTGAAAGAATACCTTGAAAAGAATGTTTTACTTTTTCAAACACTACCATTCCTTCATTTAACATACTTCATTTTTCTACAGTAAAGTATTTTCTTTATGTTGATTCTTTCTTGTAGCTATTTATCTCTCTATCTACCTACCTATCATTAAACTCTAGGCGTATTGAAAGTAAGAATTCCTGGGGAAAACTGCATAAACGATTACAGGTACACACAAATAAATACAGGCACATACTTCCATTTTGCTGTATAGTTCATTTTATTTTTTTTTCAAGGCAAGTATGAAATAAGGTTTATTAAGGAAGGGAAAGAGAGGTTTACAGAGTAAGAAAGTTTACAAAATGCAATACATTTATCACAGACAGCACAGGCCCCTGCTGCCAGGGAAAGTAGGCAAAGGCGCCAGGGTTATAGCCAGCAATTCCCTGTCCCACTGCCCAGGTCAGGCCGGCCTTGTGGTTCCTGTATAGCTCGTTTTAATCTTGCAAAGTGAAAATAAGATCTTTCTTTCCAATGTGCAAGTCTAAACACCAATCTCATTATCATCATAGAAAATGCTGTGATATGCAGTATAGAAAATGTAACATGAGAAAGAGAAATATAATCACACCTGCGAATGTCAAATATTATACGTTAGACTCCTAAACCTTCTTCCCTTTTCTGTGTTATTTGAAAGAATTAAAGTACCCCAATTTGAATAATTACCAAAGAAGGACATTTAGAAAATATACAAATATGGGTTCCACTTACAGATAGTAAAGATGAATTCGCTACATGACTTAAGAAAGATTTTGACTCAGTTGGTAATTGTGAATTTAGTATTATTAATTTTTGTCTTATTTTTATGGTCAAATGTAGAAACCTTCTCATGGTCAGCATTTCATCCTATTGCTATTGATTCATTTACTTATTCCTCATTCACTCATAGGTGGATCGGATTTAGAAATAAAATATTAGGATCTTATTTGTGCTGAGCAATTATTACCTATCATATAACATAGAGAAACACAACCCAGACTCATTAATAATTTTTCTGGGTAGCTATCATTCTTTGAGCCCTGTTTCAGTATTTGTTTTCATTTTGTTTTCTTGGTTTCAGGTAAGGAAAATTAGATAACATGCATGTTTTAGTCTGAAGGTTTGTCACTTCTACCTGTTGATGTGGCATCGATATGTTTGCAGTCTTGATCATTCCACGCAAACTGGGAATATGCCCCTTAGTTGATGTCATCCCTGCTCCTCTCTCTTCATCTGGTCACCCTCTTCTTCCTTTATGGCATCACTTCATGCCTGCCCCTTGCTGCCTCACCTCCTCAGTGTCACTGAGAGGTCACTGTGTTTCTGCGGTGTTCCACACACGGCTCTTCCCTGGTCCCCACTACATTATATTTTCCCTGACTCACCGTCAGTTGTAAGCATCCCAACCCCAAACAGTAGTTTGGCATTGCTCATCTTTGTATCCACTGGGTACACAGAGTAAGAACTCAAGAAAGTTTCTTGGCTTGGCGCCTGTGGCTCAAGTGGCTAAGGTGCCAGCCACATATACCTAAGGTGGCAGGTTCGAATCCAGCCCGGGCCCACCAAACAACAATGAGGGCTGCAACCAAAAAATAGCCAGGCATTGTGGTGGGTGCCTGTGGTCCCAGCTACTTGGGAGGCAGAAGCAGGAGACTCGCTTGAGCCCAGGCGTTGGAGGTTGCTGTGAGCTGTGATGCCACAGCACTCTACCCAGGGGGATAGCTTGAGGCTCTGTCTCAAAAAAAAAAAAAAAAAAGAAAGTTTCTTGAATTTGACTAAAGTGGAGCAGATGATCTTTCTTCATATCCATTTCAAATTCCATCATGGATGATGCTGTACAAAGGTTAAATTATATTATAAGACGACAGCTTCTTCATTATGGTGCTTTGGTCCTTTCATTTCTGACCTTTAGCAAAATTCCTCAATAACTAGTAAATGTGATATTTCAGTATTCCTCCATAGAAGTCCACATCATAATTTAGAATTCCAGTCTGAGTCACCTATTCTGTTTTCTAAAGGCAGTTTCCATGAAGGTTTCCTTCATAAAAGCAGAACATATTTTTTATTTTGACAGAAAAAGGTATAACCAAATCTATCAAGATTGACCACATATTTATGAGGTTACGATGTCATAATCTAGTATGAGCCCTGGTGGAATACAGTGTCAGGCCAATAATTCAGACAAATATCTCCTTGCAGTTCACAAAACGTATATGCCTTCGAGCTCCAGTTGTAAATAATAACCCAGTAACCACTGCATTTTGCGTGCGACATATGGCAGTGCTGCAGGGGAGAGCACTAAGTGATAAAAATTAAAGAAAATGAAAGGTCATTCACAGCAAATACTTACCATCTGCTCCCATGCAGGATGGCAAACAGAATCAGGATGGAAATTTAGGTATTGTTCCCACCCAGCCATAAATTGTTAAAGAGAACAGATGATAGGTGATTTTACAAGTCATTTAGTAAACAGCCATTCCTTGGGCAAAAGGTTCACTTCTATTGGGAGCTCTCTGCCAAAGGCAAGAAAGTGAACCACAATCCAAAGTCAAAATGAAATTATCCTTCCACTTTCATCTTCAGTAGCAGAGGCCACTCTAGTTGAATCACTCCAAATTTCTACAATTAGATTGCCTGTTCACTGGAACAATGTACTAGGCTGCATCTTAAAGTAGAGGGATGGGCAGCCTGAAATGCTAATGATAAAAGGAGTAACAGCATAGTGGAGTCAGAAGAAAATGAATTGTAAGCAGTTTGTAGAATGGGAGTTATAGTAAACTAAGTATGTGTGTGAGAGAGAGAAAGACAGAGAGAGAGAGGCATAGAAGGAAGATCAAGATCCACTGAAATCTGGATATTGGTTATCTGAGCAGTAAAATTGCAAATAACTTTTCATCCTTGTGTTTCTCTGAATTTTTGGACTTTCTGCAATGAACATGTTTTTCGTACATAATCTGATAAAATCTGTTACCGTTAAAGAAATCATATCAGAAGCAAGGAATTTCAAGGCTTCAAAGTAGTAGGAGCTGGAAGAGATGCTTGCAGGAGGTGGAGGGAATATAGTTTGAAGGAGTTGAGGCTGACTCTGGATGAGCCAAATACAGCATAAAATTAAGACAGGAAAGATTATGCCTATAATGAAACTCAATACATGAGGAAGTAGTGAAATCAAAATACAGGCAGTCCTGGGGTAACAAATGAGATAAGTTCTGTACGTTTGTTCTTAAGTTGAATTTGTGCGTAAGTTGTAATTTACCTACTAACGTGTTAACCTCTGTAAGTGCAAGTACACAACTTGTATTTTTGTAACTTGGGGACTTATGGTAAACATGATTGAGTAAAGAAGATAAGATAGATTCTTTTCTTTAAAAGTGTTTTTTTTCTTTATTTTAAACCAGAATGTTATTATTAAATTAGGTCACAGGGCAGGTGAGGTGGTTCATACCTATAATCCCAGAACTCTGGGAGGTAGGGAGATTGCATGAGGCCAGGAGTCTGAGATCAGCCTAGGCAACATAGGGAAACACTGTCCCTACCAAAAAAAAAAAAGAAATTAGTTAAGCAATTTAACTAATTACTGAAGTAGAAAGATTGCTTGAGCCTAGGAGTTTGAGGCTGCTGTGAGCTACCATGATGCCACTGCACTGCAGCCTGAATAGTAAAATGAGACCCTGCCTCTAAAAAAATAAATAAATAAACATTTAAAATTATAAAAATAAATTAAGTCATTAACCTTATTCCACAGTGTTGGCTCTAAATGACTGTGGGTTTCTTCTGCAATTTAAACCCATCCTCCAAAATTGAAGTTGAAGAACTAGTAATCTGGAGAATACTCCATTATGTTGCCAAGTCCTAACGCAGTTACAGCATGCCTTTCAGCATGCTTTGAAAAGAGTAATGCTCATTTGTATTTGCGTTAAATGCTTAGACAGTTCTTTTGTATAGCCACATTCGATAAACCTGAAAAACAGTGGGAAGATGAAGACGGAAAATTGAGTGGCTGCAGTACTATGACCACACTTCTCTTCTGCAGCAAGTTGGCCTTGCTCTCTTCTTGCTCTTCCCAACTACGGTCAGTGCCTCCTCTTGGTTTCCCTCTATGTGAAGCACAGCCAGTGCCCTCTAGTTGGCGGTCTTTGCTTCCCTGGTGTTGTATCAATGATGACAACTTGAAGGGCCACAGGATGACTTGACATCTCAGATTCCTTCACAATGGCTAGAGCGGGCTCATGCACAAAGAACACCTCAATACTGATTTTGATGAAGTAAAAACAAATTTTTGCTCCCATTTCACTGCTTACTACTTAGTGACATTCAGAAAAAGAGGGTTTCATTTTATAGGACACTAGTCTCAAGTCCTTACCACAGGGATTTCACCTGAGACTATCACAACCTGAAATGAGAAAATAGAGTGTTCGTTGTCACAGGACAGGAACATACTTTTCTTTTTTGTTTTTTTTTTTTTTTT